TTACTTGGTACATATTTTATTTTAATTTTGAACCCTTTTAAAAGGGTCTTTCGGTTCCATAATAAAAATTAGTTGCTGCTTACTAGAAACATTCTATATAGCCTAAACCAATTTATAGTTTGTTTTCGATCAATTTAATACAAAGATTTAAAGTTTTTAGTCGATGATAACATTCCACACCAGCACATTGCAAACCTATTTTATAAATAATAGGAATAAACTTGTAAATCATTAATTTGGTAGTTATCTCACTCATATGATTTTTTTGTTTATATGAATATTTCGATTTCTAAATATATTTTGGCCTTACAATACGAAGCGTTTTGTATCTACTACTTTTTTAATGAACGATGAATGTTGACAGGCGTGTACCTTTTTCGGAACAAGAGGCGTTTTAACGAAGGAAATGATTTTCGAACTATCTAGTTAGTTTTCGGAAAAATAGAAAACGTTTGAAGAAAGTTGTCAATAACAGTTTGTCGTTCATGTGTTTCATTTTGATCAGCTTTCATACTAAATTGCGTAGAATATTTTTCCGATTCAAAATCGAGATTCTCGATATTTCCACAGTTTATTTATAATACCTTCTAAAGTGGATTTATCTATCATTTTATATACTTTATAATATATGTTCATGCCCTACTTTTCACTTTATTAACAATTTTTTTTAACATACTTCAAAATGGTAGCATATTCTCAATTCGTTGAAATATTTTTTTATGTATGTTGAGCGATAATTCTTTACCACGTTGCCCGATTTCTAGGATTCTTTTTGTTTGAAAAGGAAACAGTTTTATATACATTAAGTCAAGATCTGAAGATGGTATCCATAAGAAAATCATTAACATCTTTATTTTTAAAGTAGGTTTTTTTTAAATTTCTTTAAACCTTACTGGTTCGAACGCCGTAAGGAATGAAGAAATGTAAATAATTGTTGTGCCAGCCAAAAAACGAAGAGGAAGTACCGATTAAAATATCGAGTGACAGAAGAGTTCCTAAGATTGTTGAGATCGGGTTTATGTTTTAAAATGCCTTAAAACCGATATCGATAATGTCTCCCCGTCGCTGGGCAGCCTGTATATAAATATACAGATCTCTATTTACATAATTATAATTCTTAGGTAGGTTTAGATTTGCAGACATAAATCTTGTAATAAATATAACAGCTGCCTAATACATTGATTACATTTTCATTAGCCAATGTAAAAATGTCTTTTATTGTACCTAGGATTTGACTAAACACTACACAAAACTAAAAATAAAATGCCACTTTCATCGTGTAATTAATGCCGCGTTTGAGAATCCACATCGGATGCATTTTTTACATCTCGAGCGTTTTTTATCCACATCGGACACATCTGTCCCATTACATTTACGTATACTGAATCACGTGATCAAAGATTTACTACTTACTACATCTCAGATGCATCCGATGTGGATTCTCAAACGCGGCATAAATAATAAACTACAAACGGTCCTGTAAGGGCAGCGTCATATAGCCTTGAAACACCGGATTTTAGTGCTATTGCCAGGTCAATATTGAATTTGTAGGTGAATCGCTTATTGAACATTAAAAATACGGTATTAATGACATTAATACGGTATTTGTATATATTTTTGGGAATGTAATTACACATAAATATTATTAGTTGATTATTTAAATGTTTATAAGTTATTTTGTGGCGATATTTCGTAGATATAAACTGTTTAAATCATATAATTTAAAAATTAATTAATTTAAAATGCTTTTCTGTTAGGTATGTTTAATATATTTGGCAACACTACAGGGACAAGTCATGCTTATTGCGCAAGCTTCTAGACACACTATTTTGCGATGTCAGGCGCAGAGACGCGTTTTTATGCACAGTAGGTTTCAATTTCTGCTTAAATGTTATGTTTATATTGGTCTTCTATATTATTTCTATGATCCTAACTTACAATCTTTAAAATCAAACTTTAAGAAATCATATAAGTTTATCGATATTAAATAATTTCCATTACTTATGTAGAATATTTTTATTAAATAATTAGATTTTAAAAGTGCAATTCAAAAAAGCTAGAAATATGCAAAAATAATTTGTCCGATTATGTACGCACCATTTCAGTGAACGCTGTTGTAATTGGCCGAAAATAGTTTTATGCGAACGCAGCTTCTAGGTGCTAGGGCGGAGTAGTGAAAGGCAACGGTAATGTACCCAGCTGTCAAATCGTTTTTTACTAATTAAGTTTAAAATAAGTGGTAAGTACCTTTCAATTTATTATTTACGAAGCGTACATCCCGGGAACGCACTTATAAGTTTAAAATATTTAAAAAATACACGTTTTAAAGTATAATATTAACAAAATAACCTTAAATATTTTACTTTCATCATTCCAAACTGTATCTAAAATGGCCGCCTTAAAAAAAGTGCATTTATTTGAAATCGTCATTTCGGGAACGTTCCCGGACGCATATTTACACATCCTCCTATATGACGGCACCAGAGTGCTGAAATCTGTTAGCCTTTGTAACCTACAAGTACGCTACAAAAGCTCATTGATTTAGACATCAATGCATGAGGCCTCTCTTATTGCTGGAATCAGTAAGGAAGCTTATCTGCATTCTATGAAACAATGGCTGCACTTAAACTGCCGTTAAACGGTCGTGTACTAAAATGCCGTTAATAGACATGATGTCATTCAAATGAAGCATTTGAAGTGTTTTGGGATTAAAAAAAAAGAAAATATACAAGAATAAAACGAAGCAAAAAATTTTAATCCATACCTGGCTACGCCTACCGGCATAGACGCCAACGGTCTGGACACAGCTAAAATTGAAAAGTAAAGTCTTACATAACATAAAATTTGTATGGGTGTCTAAATCAATGAGCTTTTGTAGCGTACTTGTAGGCTACAAAGGCGAACAGGTTTCAGCACTCCGGTGCCGTCATATAGGAGGATGTGTAAATATGCTTCCCGGACATGATGACACGTTCTCGAAATGACGATGGCGTTTCCGAATAGAAATGCTTTTGCATTTTTTTTAAAAACTTGCCACATATATTATGTGTACATAATTTCTAATAACAACATATTTATTTTGTTATAGCAATATGGAGACTTACGAGTTGAAAAAAACAAAAAAGACTTGAAAAAAATATTAAAACAGGTGGTGCTGCCTATTTAGGATAGAGAGAAAAATCTAATGCTAGGAAATGAAAGTTTGTAGACAGAATGACTGATGAGCAGAGAGAAATTAAAAAGAAAAAAGGAGAAAATAAAGTAAAGATTATTGCTGAAATGACTGAGAGAGAAAAACGAAAGTAGAGAAAATACTGGAAAAAAGCGCCGAAAAATACAGAGAAAAGAAAAAGTACTAATAAACCTAATTAATAATACGCCGCCACATTCGGATAATGAGTTACCCGCAATTTCTTCAGCGAGAAGACAAGTAGGAAGAAAATTAGTATGGAAAGATAGAATTAGAAACAATATCACTGGAAGGAACATGCTCATCTATACTGCCGTCCTAAAAACAAATGCCGTATCTACTGAGAGCGATAAGCGAAGAAAACGGGATTTAAAGTTATTTCCTTGGCCCTTAAGTATTCAGAGCTGGCTAATTAATATGTTAGATTTTTAATATCTTGGAAACTTATACAGTATTTCTGCTTGGTAAAAAGTTAATTTAACTTTCCACGAACCCATTAAGTAAACCCAAAAATATTAAAATTCTAATTTTTGTAGATACCGCATCTGTTTTTAGGACGGCGGCATACAGATAGCAGACAAGCACTACTCGCCCTGAACAGACCACGAATTTATTCAGGGTTAGTACTAGAATGTCACGAAGCTTTGGCCGAAGTATCCATCAACAACGTGGTCACCTTAAGATGGATTAAAGGTCACGTCACATCGAAAGGTAACCGTCTTGCTGATTTACTAGCCAAGAAAGCAGCCAACCAAATACTTTTTGGACCTGGCCCTTCTATTGGCCTGACAAAATCGGTAGTGACAGACCTAATCAAAGAACATTATCTTGTGAAATTCAAGGAAAGATGGGACAAAACAAGAAACTGCAGAGTTGCCAGGGAGCTCTTAAGTTATCCTGACAACACTGCAGCAAACAAATACTTGACTATGACTAGACAGAATCTGCGCCTAGTCACAGGCATTCTGACTGGTCATTGCCAAGTACGAAAGCATCTCCATATCATGGGACTGTCAGAATCCGCACTCTACAGAGGGTGCGAACAAGAAGATGAGACCATCAAGCATATCCTTTACGATTGCTCGACGCTCTCATTTATTAGATTTGTGTTCGGCGAGTATCGGCCGATATAAGAGAAGCAACTCTTGACGACGTTGTCAACTAGATTAAATCTGTAGGCTGGCTCACGAGCTAGGAGGTGCCTATCTTCTCAGGAGGATGCACAATGGACCTAATGAGGCCTAAGTGCCGTGGGGTAATCCACCCTCCACACATTACAGATAGAGCCAAAGCATACCGAAAAATTAAAAAACAGGAAGAAATTGTAGTTCAAATGAAACGTAAAATTGAGTCCTTAAAGAAAAAACTACGAAGAAGAAAAAAAAAAAGGAACGAGTACCTATAACTCTTAATAGTCAAGTTGATGCTATGCTTAAGGACATTAAGGTACCTCCTGAAGTTCGCAAAACCCTTTTGTTTAACGAAGTATTGAGTACGCAATTAAAGGAGAAGACTGATATTTTGCCAAAAAATTCAAAAGAGAGGAAAGTTTTTCAAAAATGTATCAGCGGAAATGTTTTAAGAAAATACAAATTGTTCCATATGGCTAAGAAGATTTTACCGAACAACGAAACAAGAAATCGATTTTAAAGTCTGATGTTAAATTTCGCCAGATTGTGTTGAAGCCAGAAGTTCTTCAAAAGGTTACAGATTTTTTCGAAAGAGGTGACGTTAGTCAAATGTGCCCAGCTAAAAGAGACTTTTAAAAAAAATGGCATTAGAAAACAAAAGCGCATCCTTTTAATTACAGTCAAAGCATCAAAGTTCGTAAAAGAAACTTGGGTTAAGTTTTCCTATACGACACTTCTCAGAGCAAAGGCGTTCTGGGTCGTAGCTCCAAAATTAAAAGACCGTGAAACATGTTTATGTGTCAAACATGAAAATTTTGAATTAAAATTCAATAAGCTGAACAATTTACAAGACCTTAAACACGACAGTATAGATACGTTTATTGAGGATTACACTTGTGACGTAACTTCTCATGACTGCATGAATAGTTTATGTGAAAAATGCAAAAATCAGCTGCTTCAGCCGGGTGATAATTCAGTTTCTTTGACATATTTTCAATGGAAGTCCGTTCTTGAAGAGAAAATTGCAAAAGGTGCGAAAAAGACTTTTAAGATCACCAAAAAGCTGGAAAAAAAATTAAGAATGGCTTTAGCAGAAAACATTCCGGTCATGAAAAAACATCTCTATGGCATTTACAGCTACAACAAACTGAAAAAAGAGCTGAAAGAAAACTTGAGCGAAATAAAGATTATGATACAGATAGACTTCTCAGAGAACTACATTACCAAGTACGCATTTACACATTTTGCTAAAAATCAGTTATCTATCGACACAGGCGTATATTACTCACGAAACGTTAACTTACAATCAATATCTTTTGCGACAGTGTGTGAAAACTTGGATCACCAAGCCCATGTAGTATGGGCTCATATGAAACCAATATTAACTACAATCATTTCAGAAAACAAAGATATTGACACCCTCCATTTCTACTCTGACGGTCCAACATCGTAATATCGCAACCGCACTAATATAACCTTTTGGATTAATGAATTCAATTAAATATCAAAATCATCTTGGACTTTTAGTGAACCTGGTCATGGTAAAGGCCCTATGGATGGCGTAGGATATCTTAAGAGGACAGCTGACAGTCACAAAACAGCTTCAGACTTTGCTAAATTATTTAAAAACTCTGTTATCAAAATTAAAGTGCTCCATGAAAAAGATGTAACTGAAGGAAAAACGTCCCAAAAACTTTGGATACTATTCCAAGTATTATGAATAGCACAAAAATTACTTGGCAGCGAGAGTCAGAAGTTTTAATACAAGTATATCGATATGAAAATATTAAGAGTTAAAACTGTCTACGCTTTCTAGTCATTTTAATCGAAGCTCAGACGAACCTATAGGTTGTAAACCTGTAGAATCTTCTATTCCTGAAGAGCCCATGGATTCAGATGATTTAGAAAACATGTCGAAATTGAAAGAGGGACATAGCAGTATTCATAAAAATATTTACAACTTATCTTCATCAGATGACGAAGATTTTATCGTAATTTCTCAACAGACTAAAGAATAATCCAACGGTGTTGAAGCTAGTACATCTTATAATAAAGAAAATGTAAATCCAAATTTGATAAGCCCTGGGACATTTTTACTGATTAAAGTACCCACTCAAAAGACAAATGTTCATTATAGGTATGTTACTACCTGTCAGACCTGTATTGATAACGATGATGGGGAAATCCTAGTAACTTTCTTGAGATCAATACGTAATAGTACCAGAAAATTTTAACTAAAATTAAATGATGTCTTACCTTCGAGCAAATAATTAGTACAATTCCGACACCATTACTGAAAAAAGGACAGAATCGAGGATATTATTATTTCGAAACCGATATTGATGTTTTCGAAAAATTCTAAGTAATACGTCTTGTTATTATTTTATCCATTAGTTTTTATATTGGGTACAAATCCTGTTTGAACAAATAAAAAAAATATGATTTATAAAACTCGTTTATTATTTTACTTACTATAAGTTATCTATATCAATATCCTCAGTTGGCAAGCAGTTGCATTATTCCGGGAACGTTACTAAAATTACGTAAAACACAGAATATTTTAGATATTTTAAAAAACCTTAATTCTGTAAATATATTGAAATTTTGATGTTTCTCGTTCTGCTTATAAATCAGTAACATATCTTCGTTTTTGGATGTATTTTACTTCAAAGGGATTTTGTATGTATTATTATTATTATTTAATTAATTGTTCATTAATATACACCTACACAATTGTATAAAAACAAAACATATTTAGGTATTTTTTGACACATTATTAACTTTACAAAAAAGTAATGAATTCTATGCTCGCCCCATACAAGTATTATCCAAGCATAAGTTAAATGATATTATAAACTAATAATCATGACTAATTAAAATGTTTTTTTGTTATAAAACCAATCTTGAAATTTGCGACCTTTAAGAGTACCATTGCCTATAAGAATAAATAACTATTCCAATTTCATGTGAAGAGTTAAGCAAAGTACCTGTACCTATTGCGTACTGATTTGGAAACTGCTATACAAACCTCGCCTTCTCTGGAAGATGAGCTAGTTTTGGTAAATCTGTCCTTGCGGTAATTGTTAAAATTTTCAAATCCAAATTTGGCATCACTAAATTCTTGTTCTGTTTTGGTAGTAAACTTAATAGAAGGGGGGCTGAGGCACTAATTATTTTTCACTGTAATTCATTTTTCATACTCATCCATAATGTGGATATTTTGACGTAATCAAATTTGATATTCAATGATTTAGATGTATATTAATTTTTTAAATTTCTTTCAGAACCACGACCAAAAATGGAAATACCCCACTGTAAACAACACTAACAAAGTTGCTACTCCCCCCAACAGTATTTCGTACATGAGCAGCGCCGCGGCTGCCGGTATGCCCCCCCTTTATGACATGGGGGGCCAAAATAAGGGCCTAGGGCACGAGCAACAATTTGTTTACATGTCGAATCAAATGCACCCTCCCCCTCAAGCCGGCATGACCTTGCATCATCCCCAGTATTTGCCGCCGCAGAGTTTGGCGCAGCAGAGTTTGGCACAGCAGAGTTTGGCACAGCAGTTGCATCAGCAGATGAGACATCAGCAGCCACAGGTAAGGATAGAATAGATTTTTTTATATATAATATAACGAAGGAACCAATATTATACAAACAAAAACAGAATATCGAGTTATTTTTATACAGGCATATATACAGAGTTTAAAATATTTAAAAGCGGTAACAGTATGGACCAGAATATACAAAAAAGTCTTAATGAATATGGATTCGCAAAGTAACGGTTTCGGAGATATGGAAGGTTACTTTATTTATTATATTGGAATACTAACTTCTTGTCGTTAGCATTTCATTTTTAAAATTATAGTTTTCTGTAGATAATTTCTAAAATCTATAAAAACTCCCTTTATAATATGAATTGTGATCTAAATAATGTATTTATATTTTTATGGTACATATAATATTAATTAAATATTCTTTATAGATGTCGATAAATCAATCTAAGTTTATGCTGTTGATTAAATTCAATATTTTCTCAAAATTAATCAAATTAAACGTTCCCTGACTCGTTCAGGAGCTTCCCACTCTAATACAAATACAATCTAAATAGCCTAAATCTACCCAAAAAACAGTATAATGGTGTTCTAGAAATATTTCCTCTAATTATCGGCTCGAGAGCTGAGCTGGGTCAGAATAGATGTTCGTGAGCTGAAAAACTCGAGCTCGAATTTCGGCAGTTCACTCAGAGCAATCGGGAGGACAACAATACTGACGGGAAGAGGGAGGAAGTGGGTAGGTAGGATTCGCTCCCCTTTCAGGAATTATTGATTAAACGTCACTGCTTCGCGATATTTTGTTGTTCACTGTTAACTGGCTCTCATTTTGATATTAAACAGTTCTCGTTTTTGATTAGATAGACGAGCAGAGCCGAAATCAGTAAAAAATGCATTTATAACTTGGTAAAATTAACTTTTTGTAAAGAAAAATTACATAATAAAAACTAAGAATTAAAAATACCCATTTTTCTCAAAGTGCTTGAATACCAAAAGGAAACTTAAACGGTAACATCCCACTGATATTATTAAAGTTCTTTGCAAATTTTCTAGATTTATAAAATGATATCAGAGAATAAAAAAATGTTATTTACGATTCTGAAAACTACAAATTATGTTGTACAGTAATAAACCTAAAAAGACAATTTATAATACAATCACAAAATATGTTTTTCTATAACCATTTAAAAATCAACAACTTTCGTCGTTTTACTCCAACCGAAACCACTGACACCAGTCAACTTTTTTTACTTTACACACTAGTAATATAAATTAAATTTTGTATTTAAAAGAAATATTTTTTACAAATTGAAAATTGGTAATGCTACCGTAATTTTTTAAATTTATCGTCCAAAAACTTTTTTTTTGTTAATACTTTTCATATACTTTGACTACGGTATCAATAATTTGAAACTCAATATAGGTATCTATTTGAAAATCTAGAAGAACTTTTATAAACTGGTTAAAATTTGGGTGTGCATTATAAAATGAAGCATTATAACGCGAATGAAAAGATTCGCATGCGTTTGTTGTCCGTTTTAAAGAAGAAGAGTTTTCAGCCTATATGTTAGGAGGAAAGGTAAAAATTTCATCTATATAAGTTTCAGCTAGATAGTCATTAAATTTAATCACCATCTCACCATCTGGTTTAATTGCAACGAGATCTCTCAGAAAACTGCAGAGCCTTTTGGCAAAGTTTGGTTTCCCAGTTTAAATTCAATAAAGATGTGCAAACTAAATTTGACAAATTGACAACATCAAAAAATGCATCGTAAGATACAGTGTCCTACATAAAAATAAATAACTTAACAACTAATCTAACTGATAGAAATCTAATATCCCCAAAATTCTTTAAATGTTCTTTTAGAATAGTTGCTGAAACTGATCAGCTAAATTTAACTTCGATTCAATATACAGCAATTTTAATATTTTATCTCCAATTAGGTCTTTGATGTAAAATATTCTTGTCTATATGTTTAGATCTGTCTGACGTGGTTTGATTTTCGGCAAGTTTGATTGCTCCTTGGTTATCTACACGAATGCAAATGTTCTCAAAATATTTTTCGAGGTAGATTTCATTAAAAACATTAGTTCTTTTGCCGTTTCACTCAGACCTACAAATTCTGATTCCACAGTGCTCAATGCTACGCAATTCTGTCTATTGCTCGACCAAGTAATCGCCGCTCCTGCTAGAACAAACATATATCCACTAAAAGACTTACTGTCTATCTCATTTGCCCCCTAATCTGCATTGGAAAAACCCTTAATAATTTCTCCATTTTTTTTTTTTATACTAGTCCATAATTTTCAGTTCTAACTAGGTACCTCAAAATATGTTTCATACCTTTCCAGTGCTGCTTATCTGGATTATTATTAAATTGACTTATAAATGTGGTGGCAAAAACTACAGTTCATCAAATTTCTAGAGGTGTTCGACGCCCAGACAGAGAACGCGCTACGTGTGACTAAGATAGCTATTGTACAGTCTGCTAAACAAGTTATTTTAAATAGTTTTTAATATTTTTAGGTAATTAAATTTTAAAAGTGTGGAATAGTTTAGGGATTAAATTGGTCTGATTGGACTTTCTTAGAACGTTTTTAAAAGCAGCTAAAGATAGTATGTAGAATTGAAAATAATTATTATGCCATAAAAGGTGTTTTGGAATTCCTTCAACCTTTTGAAATTGAGTCAGAAAATATAAATTTTATAGGATAGCGGAAAATACCTATAATTTTTTTGTAGGCCTTTGTATATCGTGGAAATAGTTTATATTTTATTTCTACCTTATTAAGGAAAATGGTACCTATTATTAATAACGGTTGTTTCTGAAACATTACTAAAATTTTCGAAATTTTGTTTTTCTACAAAATAATAAACTATACTATTTAGAAAAAAATTTATTTCTCTTATAATTTTATAAAAAATAACAGGGGAATATTTACATTTCTTGATCTATTAAACAAAACGATAAATTATCTCGACGAATGACACCATGTTCTAGTACGGAAGCTAGCTTTACATTTTTGTTGGTGGTTTCATGGGTTTCATATCAATTTTTTGTAATTGTAGTTTACACGTACATATACCTCTTAACACTTGTTTGCTTTATTAAAAAAGCGTGTTGTTGTGATTTACGTCGAAATAAGTCAAAAACAACTTGAAACCCCATATAAAATCAAAAAGGAGAAACGGAAAAAAATTGAGCCTGTAAATGAACACAACTCAGAAACAAAAATAGCTATCTAATAATAAAAAAATAAAATTTGATTCTTGTGCAGCTTCATCTATATCATTAACTGTTTTTGGTTTTTTAATGGTTTTTCTTGGTAATGAAAATTCCGATATCTCACGGTTATCGATTCTTTTTTTCTCTCCATAAATGCGGACGACAGTGTTTTTGGATACTCCTGTGGCTGCAGCAACACGATCATTTACATTTTTAAATGGTATTGAAGGTGAATTAAAGTTTCCTTCTCTTCTCATAAACTCTATATTATTCAAATGTTTTTTCTCTTGTTTGGTATTTTTTCTCTCTTTTCATTAAAATGTATTTGTTTTGTTTATGCATGCATAAAATATAATGATTAGAAGACTTTAAAGCTAATATTTCTAAGTAGGATTAAATAGTAGCACATACGTGCAATTGACATTTAACGTTTATTTCGAATTAGCATAAAACTTATAATTTATAAATACCTATTTGCTAATCTTAATTTTTACTTTCCTATCTGTATACAGATATAAGGAAAGTATAGGAATCATGATTTTTTTCGACCTCGAGTTTTCGACGGATTTTTACGTTTTGAGGTCCCCTGGATCCGTTTTGACTATTTTCGCGATGATGTCTGTGTGTGTGTGTGTGTGTGTGTGTGTGTGTGTGTGTGTGTGTGTGTGTGTGTGTGTGTGTGTGTGTGTGTGTGTGTGTGTGTGTGTGTGTGTGTGTGTGTGTGTGTGTGTGTGTGTGTGTGTGTGTGTGTGTGTGTGTGTGTGTGTGTGTGTGTGTGTGTGTGTGTGTGTGTGTGTGTGTGTGTGTGTGTGTGTGTGTGTGTGTGTGTGTGTGTGTGTGTGTGTGTGTGTGTGTGTGTGTGTGTGTGTGTGTGTGTGTGTGTGTGTGTGTGTGTGTGTGTGTGTGTGTGTGTGTGTGTGTGTGTGTGTGTGTGTGTGTGTGTGTGTGTGTGTGTGTGTGTGTGTGTGTGTGTGTGTGTGTGTGTGTGTGTGTGTGTGTGTGTGTGTGTGTGTGTGTGTGTGTGTGTGTGTGTGTGTGTGTGTGTGTGTGTGTGTGTGTGTGTGTGTGTGTGTGTGTGTGTGTGTGTGTGTGTGTGTGTGTGTGTGTGTGTGTGTGTGTGTGTGTGTGTGTGTGTGTGTGTGTGTGTGTGTGTGTGTGTGTGTGTGTGTGTGTGTGTGTGTGTGTGTGTGTGTGTGTGTGTGTGTGTGTGTGTGTGTGTGTGTGTGTGTGTGTGTGTGTGTGTGTGTGTGTGTGTGTGTGTGTGTGTGTGTGTGTGTGTGTGTGTGTGTGTGTGTGTGTGTGTGTGTGTGTGTGTGTGTGTGTGTGTGTGTGTGTGTGTGTGTGTGTGTGTGTGTGTGTGTGTGTGTGTGTGTGTGTGTGTGTGTGTGTGTGTGTGTGTGTGTGTGTGTGTGTGTGTGTGTGTGTGTGTGTGTGTGTGTGTGTGTGTGTGTGTGTGTCTGTATAACGCATAACTCATGAACCGATACACAGAAAAACACCAAATTTTAAACTTAAGCTTTGTTTCAGCGTCCAATGAGCTGATTAGATTTTGGGCAGTGTCGGAACATCTGGGGGGGTACTTTATAGGTGGTCATTTTTATATTTTATGGAATATATCTGTTATTTACGTTTGGAGAAGAAAATTCTTCAAATAAAAGTTACTTCTAATATAATTATCTATAATTTTTGTTTTATGCAAAATTTTCCTAAAATGGTCCGTATTCGAGAAATTTGACAAAATGTAAAAAACATAATTTTTTATAAAAATTGTTCAAATAAAAGTTGTTTGTAATATAATTCTCTATAATTTTTGTCCTA